GCATCCTCTATCATGAATGATTAACAACACTCCTTAAGCAGAACTAAAAGTAACTGAAAGTCTAGTACAGGATAAGTAAATGACTTTAGGAATCTGTAGGCACATGAAAAGTTGATCACAAAAAAAGAACTACATTCACTTCCTCAGAGATACTTACAGCAAGGATTAACTGCTTAGATGTACCTCCTAGACATCATTAGATTCTCTGCCATGTGGTCTCATTACTTCAAAGGGAGAAAAAAAGGAGTGAAAAACAAAACTGTGACTACCACTACTACTTTCTACCCAGATATATACAATTACAATTGTTTTGCTGTAAATATAACTCTAAAAATTCTTTTTGTAGTCCTTACGATGTTTTAAAGCCACATCTTCCTACTTTATATCAAAATTCCTATGTCTGTACCCTGACTCTTAACAGAAACAAGTATCCTTCCACATGTATTTCACATCAAAAACTGTATCACCTTTAATATTACATGTATCACCTAGCATCTGCCCTTAACACACATGGTTTAGATACAACTAGACCATATTTTGTAATTCTTTAAAGCAGTTTCCTGTATTTCTCAAACCTCTCTGTTGATCATATTATCCACATTAAAAAAATTATTTATTTTACGAATGAGTGCTATCTGCATGTATACCTTCATGCCAGAAGAGGACATCACATCCCACTAGAGATCGTTAGTTGTGAGTCACAATGTGGTTGCTGAGACTTGAACTCAGGACCTCTGGAAGATCACCCAGTGTTGTTAACCACTGAGCCATCTCTCCAGTCTTGTTATCTACATATTTTTATTATAAATAATGACTTGCACAGCTAGCTCTTTATACCTACATGAAAGAACCTACTACACTCTTATCTTCTTTGATAAAGAAGTCATAAAGCCAAATCTTGGTAAACTCTAATTCTTGGAAATAATAAGTTTTCATTCTTATTCTTCAGAATACAGAAAGAAAACTAAAATTTGCTTATATTCTTTCTTCACTCAGTTCCTTAGCCAACAATATTTAATACTCACATATTTAGATGGTATTTTTAACTTGATCCTCTGCCCTCAAGGAGCATCACACACTGGTCTACTCCTTCTATGTTATATCTTCAAAATGTTGAATATAGATTTTATTTCTCTTTTCTTCAATACAAACTTATAGAACACCAAATTTATATTAGACAATCAAATCACTGTCAAATAATTTAAATAACTGAATTTCTTTAAAAATTCAACTTTGGAAAATTTGATTGCTACTTCTCAAGCAACAATTTTTTTCTGAATTACAGCATAGAAAGATCAACTCCAGAGACAAGGCATCTTAAAAGGAACTAGTGCCAAAACAAAACTATTTTCCTGATGCACGAGACCTAGACAATAAAAGTATTTGTTCCTATAATTCTAAATAGATTGTTAGCCATAGAATGCCCCTGAAAACCAATTCTCTCATGTTCTTTGAAATACAGTTACTAAAATTAACTTTCAACTTTATTTATACAACTGTCTGTGGCTTTGTGTATACCTAAAAAAGACAAAAATATCCCAGACCTGGAAAAGCAGTTATTATGTTTGGTTTAGCTTATTTTCATATTTTTATTTTTAAATCTATCCAAACTAAAGCTCATCATCTCTAAACAGAAGAAGGCAAATTCTTTATGTAAAAATGGAAATAATAAATTCAGCATCCTCTACACTTGAGATTTCTTAGTAAATAAATACGTAAAACCCAAAGTTCAGTGTTACGGTTGAACATGTGATCATTTAAAATTTAAGTACACCATATATGTGTCGCCTGAGAAGCTGAGATCGCAACAAAAAGCAATTTAAATGTATGTTTTCTAATCCCATATATGGCCTCAAAATAAGATAAGTAAAATTGGTCTCTAATCAATAGCATGAACTATGTTTTATATATAATATGACTTTCCCCCAAGAATTCACTATGAATGAGACCTGGTCTGGAAGGTAGTGATAAAACTTTTTAGAAGTAGGACAGAATAATCTTTATAAAGGTCACTGGAGGAAAGAGCTAATTCTCATAGGCTCCCCTGATAGTTGTTATGAGAGAATTGTTATAAAAACGGAAGGCCTGGTATCTTTCACTCTGTACCTACTGCTTGCTCCTGCATGTATTCCCACCATTGTGGCAGGATATTATTTTAAAGTGTGTAACTTTTGTTTATACTGCATTTGTTTAACTCTATAAAGCTATGATTCTTTGCTTGTCTAAAACACCTGGTAGTCTAATAAAGAAACTGAATGGCCAAAATCGAGGCAGAAGCAAGGACAGGTGGGGCTGACAGGCAGAGATTATATTAAATAGGAGGAGAAACAAGGACGGGAGGAGCAGCAAGAGAACAAGAAGAGCTACACAGCAATTCACAGAGTTAGAATAAGACTTACAGAAGAACAGGAAAAGCCCAGAGGCAAAAAGTAAATGGGTTAATTTAAAGATAAGCAAAGCCGGCTAGAAACAAGCCAAGCTAAGGCTGGGCATTCATAACTAATAGTAAGTCTCCATATGTGATTCATTTGGGAGCTGGGTGGCAGGGTCCCCAAAAAGAGAAAAAATGTCTTACTACACACCGTATCACCTCACATTACAGAACCTGTGGATTTTCAATTTCTAAAGCCATGAGCTAAATAAACCTATTTTTCTTCTTGAGCAATTATCTTTCAGATTTTGTATTTCTACTAGAATACAAATACTATCATAGTTTTAAAATGCTACTTCCAACCAGGCAGTAGTGGTGTGTACCTTTAATCCCAGCACTCAGAAGACACAGGCAGGTGGATCTCTATGGGTTCAAGTCCAGCCTGATCTACAGAGCAAATTCCAGGACAGCTTAGGACTGTTACACAGAAACACAGTCTCAAAAAAAAAAACAACTGTGTTTCAACTGAGACTATAAACAAAGGCTGTAAGTGAACACTAGTTTTGCTGCATCCTGCATATTAAGACTTCACTGAAACTATGTAAACTTCCTAAGCCTCAGCTTACTTATTTGTAAATGAATACATGACCACCAATCATCTAGTTTTTATGAGTGCCCACAATTATTTATAATTATTAGATATTAACATTAATGTTACATGCTCAAAGTCACTCTATCTTAGAAAGTAAGAAGTGTTTAACTTTTCATGTGTATCATCAGGAACAAGACTATCATAACAAACTGCTTAGAAACTGAGACAGATCACTTTTGACATCTTCCTTTCTGACACTATTAGAGTAACAATCACACAGTATATCAGTTATCCAAGTTACTGTTGTTCATATACAGAATCATATAACCAATTTATGCAAGGATATCATGAGGCAATAACAGTTTAAGACTTCTATCAAAAATTAACAGTAACTTACTCAGTTTTTAAAATAAGCCTCAATAATTGTAAGTTAAGTTTACTTTGAGACAAACTACAGACACTAACAAATCAAAGCTGCTATTAAGTATGGAAATTTTTTAAAGAATTAAAAAAAAAAACACACTATGGGGCTAAGGAGATGGCTCAGTGGGTAAAAGTACTTGCCACATAAGCCTGAAGACCCGAGTTTGATCCCTAGAACCTAAATAAAAAGCCAGATGCCATGGCACACATTTATAGTCACAGCACATGACTGAGATGTAGGCTGAGAAAGAAAAATTGGCAAGAAGCTCAAGAGCCAAAAAGCTTGGAGCATGCAGTGCATCGGATGCAAGAAGAAAGACCATGCCTCCAAATCAAAGTAGGAGATAAATGACTCCTGAAAAGTTGCCCTCTGACCTCCACACAAACACTGAGGCATCCGCATGCAATATTTTAAGTATTCCTAAAGTAGTAACTAGTTTCCAAAGTTTTGAAATGCTATGCCAAGAATCAGCCAAGAAGTCACATAAGTTCCGTTTACCTATAGTACCACCATTCCACCTAATTAACAGTATACAATTCCACCTGTCATTGTACTGACACTTTAACATAGTACTTTCTGTCATACCAAGAAAAAAAATCCACTTACTAGATAATAAAATCAGTTTGTCTCTCCCTCACTGCCAGAAAAAAAAAAAAAAAAAATACCAGAGGCAACACAGATTATCTGTCCCCTTGATTTATAAAATATAAAGCATATCCTTTCTTGGTCCTAGCAAAATCTCTACCAAAATACACAACCTCTTTAGCCCACCATATTTTTTGTTGATCTAGAAACTTGTGAAGAGGTTCATCATCCATACTGCAAAACTGCAGCCATTTTTATACATCTATATTTTCATGAGAACCAAGACAGAAAGTCACAGAAAATTCAATCAAGACCCCAAAAATTTCTCTTTTGATCACCACTAATGCTGAAACCGTTTTAAAACATTTATAGTACAAATGCCTGGTTATTCAAATAATAAAACCAATTCTTGGCTTGTGGAGGCATGTGGGAGAGAAGAGAAAGGAATGCAAGAAGCTCTCCAAAAAGTCTCTTGCCTTGAATCCTCGAATTCCTTCTCCATTTTCTAAGCCAAAATTTAAGATTCACCTTTATTCATCTACAAAAACACAGTCCTTTATATTGAGCTAGATTATAAGAAGCAAAACTAAGCACTAAGTGAAGTTTGAGTGTCATCAGCTAGGGATAAGAAAACTTAAAATGTTCAACATACTTTGTTCCTAATGGATATTTCTGAACCATGCTAATAAGCAAAGAAACAATTCAGGGTCTGAAGAGATACTCAGAGCACTGGCTGCTCTTGCAAAAGGTTTGATTACCAGCACCCAGATGGTGGCTCATGACTATCTGTAACACAACATTTTAAAGAATCAGAGGAATTTTTCTGCTTCTAGACACATAAAAGATCATTAATCTGTAATGCTTGCAAGAACTTTGGGGGGATAGCATAACAGACATTCCATAATTCATATAATCAATTATTTCTATTTCTATTAAATAAGGAAAGTACTATAGTGTAAGCTAAAATGTAGCAATTTTTTAAAAGGAGGAAACCAGAATAAAGGCATGCCCGCATACCATCAACTTACCAATTCAATTCCCTGTGGAAAAGGCGTGTCATCCCAATCCTGCTGTGGGAATCTCTGAATTATTTTCCCCAGACCTTCTCCTGGCCCTGTTGATAAAACCAAAACAAATCACTTATAAAATACTATAAAAATCTGAATGTATGGGAGGGGAGGGTGGTTAGAGTGCATGTGAGAGGGCAGAGAGGGTAAAAGGGAGGGAGAAAGGGAGGGGAAACTGGGATCGACATGTAAAATAATAAAATGCTTTGACTCCAAAATTTAAGTTCAAGGACAAGTTACTGGGGAAAAGGATTTCTATTTTTGTTTCCACAGAAAATGAAAGATGTGGATTCCTTCCAGATTAATGTGGTTTGATCAAGCCAGACCACCTGAGACAGAGTACCAGGTGATCCTACATTCAAAACAGCTGGACAAAACAGCCTTACAGACTACAGCCAGGATTTCTGAATCTTCTTCGAATCCCCCACGACAGCACCCCCTTACCAGCAGGAAGTAGTTTGGAAAGAATGACGCCCAAATTCCCAAATATTGTCTATAAATGTTTGTCTTCATTTAAATGGACTTGGTTATATAAAATAAATAAAAAAATAAAAATAAAAAAATCTGAATGTATACTCGTTATACTACTATTCACTTCCAAAAGAAGATTTGAATAAAGTGATAGAGTAAACATTTCTTAAGTTTTAAGAAACGAGGACATGTGCTTCTGAACATAATACTGAAATAGCAGACAATCCCTACCCTAGCATGGACTGTCAGAAATTTACTGACACATGAAAAGCTAAGAAAAGTTGAGGCCCTGAAATCTAGACATTTACCATATCATGGTAGTGACAGCTACCCATGTCTCCACTTTAAAAAAAAAAAAAAAAATTAATTTTAACTGCCGAATGAAATGGTACTGTTAGCACCAAATTTTAAGTATAGGTTATAAGTACTATCATGTATTCATTTTTAAGGCTAGCCTGAGACCTTACCATCTAGGCAGAGTCCTTAGTATCAGTTCTACTGACATCTTGGGCTGGATAATTCTTAAATGTGTTTGGTGTTAGGTGAGGGGAATGTGACCTTGAGCACCATCCTATGTGTATCAGCATCTTCAGTGTCAACTCACTGGATTACAACACTTACAATCTCTCGCAAGGAAGTTATTACAACCAAGAATGGAATGTTTCCAGACACTGCCAAATATTCCTGGAGTGAAAACCACAGACCTATACTATACATCAGTTATAATAGTTCTGGTTCGATACCAAGCATTGCAAAGCTAATTAAATAGGTGGTTAATTAATACTAGTTCGTTTTAATTATGTTCAATTTGGAAGAGAAAACTTCCTCCTTGGTAGAGTGTGACTTTCAAAACCTCTCCAGAAGCAACATACTATGTACTGATTTCATAATAGCTAGTGTTTCTGTAACATGATGGCTTAGTTTAAAATTCTGACACATTTATAAATGCCTATCAAAATGTGATTTATGAGTGGTAAAACTTGTTATTATTTGAAGACAGAAATTTGGTTAAGAAGTATAAATCAAAATGGGAAAATCATCTTTTATTCTAAACAAAATGTACAAAGAAGCCAGGTGTAGTAGTAACTTACTGCAATCACAGCATTTCTGAAGCTAGGACACAAGAATTACAAATTCAAAGCCAACCAGAGCTACACAAAGACACTTACATGTCCCCCCACCCAACAAAAAGAGCAATAAAGATTTGCTTCTCAAATACTAAATATGTAAATTGCTGTCACTGACAGCCTTTGAGGAACTTAATGAACCATCTATAAGAGGTAAACACTCTTTTTGATTTGTTTGATTTTGTGGGTTATTCTGAATGTTCAAACTGACTTCCCAAAGTTTTTATTTAAGTTTCAATATCCACCATATGGTAGTGCTGACTGTGTTGGAAAAGTCTGAGATGATACTTTCATAGAGAAGGGAAGATTGTTTGACTGATTTCTATTTTGTATCTACAAAAGAAGTAGGTCATGTCAATTATAGTAAATGCAGAAGTACAGACTACTTAAGCTACCTATTAAATGAGTCAAGACAACAAGAAAGAGAAAAGGAGAAACTCATCAACAGAAGAATGACCACTTCAGGAGTGAAATAGTGCTTAGAAGACAAATACTGTACCCAGATAAAATGGAAAAGGGAGGAAACTGCCATTTATCATGGCCTTTGTGCTTTCCTTCCCAGCTCCTACTCTCTTACCCAATCAAAAAATTCAAGAACTATGATGACCAAAAGGAGTCTGTATATCTTTTAAAGGAATCAGAGGGAAGAGGAGCTCAAGAAGACAACAGAGTGTTTGAAATGGTCTTCTATGAAAAGATTATGAATGTACCAAACAAACTACCCAAAACAAACTTAGAAAAAGTGACATAATACAGCCTCAGTCAGACTGTTTTCCTTCTCTTGTGTTTGGTAAACCTCTTTCTTTTTGTATTAAAATTAAAAACAATCTTATTTTACATATCAATACCAGTTTTCTATCCCTCCCATCCTCTCAATCCCCTACCAACCCCCCTCACTCCCCCTACCAACCTCCCCCCATCTCATCCTCAACTATCTACTTCTCAGATAGGATAAGGCCTCCCATAGGAGATCATCAAAGTCTGTCACATCACTTGGGGCAGGACCAAGGCCCCTCCCCTCTGTATCTAGGCTGAGCAAGATATCCCTCTATAGGGAATGGACTCCAAAAAGCCAGTTCATGCACTAGGGATAAATACTGGTTCCACTGCCAGCAGCCCCATAGATTGCCCAATCCCCCCAACTGACATGCACATTCAGTCTTATGCAGGTTCCGAAGCTATGAGTCTGGAGACTGTGAGCTCGCTTGCTAGGTCAGCTGTTTCAGTGGATTTCCCCAGCATGGTCTAGATCCTTTTGCTCATCACTCTTGCCTCTCTATAACTGAATTTGAGGAGTTTGACTCAGTGCTTAGCTATGATCTCTGCTTCTGCTTCCATCAGCTACTGGATGAAGGCTCTATAATGATATTTAAGGTAGTCATCAATCTCATTATAAGGGAAAGGGCGTTTAAGGTAGCCTCTCCACTATTGCTTAGAATCTTAGTTGGGGGTCATCTTGTGGATTCCTCAGAATTTCCCTAGTGCCAGGTTTCTCATTAAACCCATAACAGATACCTCTATCAAGGTGTCTCTTTCCTTACTCTCCTTCTCTGCCTTTCCCCCAACTCGACCTTCCTGATCCCTCATGTTCTCCTGTCCCCTCCCTTTCTCCCCTCCTCTTTCTCCTACATACCTCTTCCCTCTCCCCATGCTCCCAATTTACAATTTACTCAGGAGATTTTGTCCCTTTCCCCTTCGGGGAGGGGGCGGTCAGTAAACCTCTTTCATTTGGGTCCTGGTAGAGCTGTGGGGATATGTCAGCAAGCTACAAAGATTACCAAGTATCATAAGATAAATTAAACAGCCCTCAACCTTTGGCAAAGTAGCCATTCTAGCCTTAACAGATAACCTTAAAGGTAACAAACATTCTCTATGGCTACCAGATATTAAGGTGTGGAGCTGCTAGTGGTGAACATCTTCAAAGAACTGAACAATAAGTAGGGGGATTAACTTGGTTGAGAAATTAACACTCTGCTCTATAAAAAGAAATATATTTGGTATTCACTGATTTTAATAATTGATAAAATAACTGAGTGCCTTCTATATGCTTAGAATCCATATGCATTCTACTTGGTTACAAAACCTTAAACTTTGTAAATGCTATTCTAACACATAAGTCACTAAATTATCTTTCTCTGTGATACAGTTTCTAAAACATTCAATTGTGGCTATTTACAGGATACCTATTAAGTCCATCTGTCCACATCTATAAAGACAGTAGTTGTGTTCAGGAATACACGTTTATACCATTCATCTCTCAGTAATCACTACACATTGCTATGGTTACTGTGGGTCTCACATTACTAGAACAATAGAAACGATTTAAGTGGTTTTGCCAGATACTACCCATAGTTTCTGACATATATTAGGTACTTAATAAGGTATCTGTTGACTACATTAATAGTACTATCAGATATGTAAGTGTGCCTATAAACTTTCAAGAAATTTACGACTAGCATTACCGATATAAGAATTATATCTTAGACGATCAGATTCCTCTTCTAGAAAATTTGGAAAAACAACAAAAAAACACATAAAAGAAAATGTATAGCTAAAAAGATGTATTAAAATTTCCTGATTAAAGAGACTGGGGAGACAGGAGGAGTTGGCGGGAAAGAAAAGTGGGAATGATATAAACAATCTTCATATACAAAATTCTCAAAAAAATTTAAAATAGGTTTGGGCTAAGTGTGATGGAATACATCTTTAATACCTATTGTTGGAGACAGAAACAGGCAGATGTTTCTGAACTCAAAAACAGCCTGGTCTACATTGCAAATTCCAGGCCATCCAGGGCTCCATGCACAACAAGCTCATTTCAATTTTGTTTTGTTTTGTTTAAAAGACAAAAACAGCAACAAAAAGATTTGCTCAAAAAAAGCTCATGTATGAGCTGGTGATATAACTCAAAAAAAGCACTTGCTTAGTATGAACAAGTAAGACCCTGGCTTTAATCTCCAGCACTAAAGAAAAAGCATACCTCAGGCAACCATGGGACTTTGCATGTAAAAATAAAGGCATATAGCAGAATGGGAGCAGCACAGACATGTAGAAAGAAAACAAATGTCATCAGACAAATACTGCATTGCTCTCCAGGCTCTATCTTCACTATATTCTAAAAGCACATGGCATCTTTCAGCAAACAACTAAGCTATACTTAAAATACTTCTCCATTACTTAACCTAGTATAGATCAGTATTTTTGTCACTGGAGTACAAAATAAAACACACAGTAAGAGGCACCTTGCTAGATCGAACTCCTTCAAACTGTTACTCTGGAAACAATTACATAAAATGATCTATTTTTAAAAAAAAAAAAAAAATCTTAAAAGAAAGGTTAGAAATGCATAACTTTGTTCAAGAATCTGAAAAGTTGTTATATAGAAGAACATATATCAGGGAATACTCAAGGCAAAGGGGCATTTTTTGAGCCAATGCAAAACAATGGCA